TCTGGAGCAAATCTGACCAGCAAAGATTTAGCACGTGTGTATGGGTATTCCCTCTGACCTGTATTCTAGATGCACACCTCTGCATGCCATTCCATCATCGCTTCATTGGGGAAGAGACAAATTGTCACACACATGAAGGAGACTGTATTCAACTATCTAGTTACAAATAAAGCTGTATTTGTGTACTTAGCAGAGACAAATAAACAAAGCAGCCAGATCCAGCTCATATACACATTATCAATCCAAGGCAAATAAATATACTCTTTCACCCATCAGTTTTTTCCCCTAAAAGACATATGTGCCCAAGCTATGAGATTCAGCCTTTTCATGGTCTGTTTTAAATGTGACACTTTTTTCTTGGCCAAAATTGGCAAGGATAAGGGAAAGCAAATTGGACAAAAGGTCAGATTATAGTGAAATTGAAATATTTATCGGAACAGCTACTTCTGCCAAGGAAGATAATCACAAAGGTAACATCTCCTTTGATCCTTAATTGACCTGTGTGTTTTTAATTATGAAGCAGGGGAATTAACCTAGAGCTAATTACAGTCTTCATTTTACAAACCTGTAAGTGCGTAATTTTATTCACATAAGTATTCCTTAGTGAAGTTATGCATGAACAAGTACGTTTGTAGCTTCAGGGAATAGGTCTTGAATAACTTAACCTTTTAAAAACTTTTAAGTGGCTACTAAACAAATATGTCTTATATACAATCTATTTTGTATTTTGGGCTGTAGATGTGACGTTTTTCTGAACACTAAAGAATATTTCTTCTTGTGTCAGCAAAGCAGCAACAGTTATTTTCGTGTTAAGGAAATAAGTGGTAGCTTTAAAGAATGAACACTTTTAATTATGCGCCTTTATTCATCCTGGTCTGTGAAACTGCAATCTTTTGCTTAATGGCAGCACAGAGCAGAGGTTTGTAGCAATGCATTTTGACTTCAGCACTGAATTAATTTTAATGTGTAACACAGTCAGTTTCAAGGGAAGAAACTTCCTGAGACCTGTGTCATTCCTGTCCCTGCATACTAAAACTCATTCACTATTGGAAAAGCTTTCTGGAACACATGAAAGGTGAACCTACTCTCCCTGGTGCTCTCCTCATGCTCACATTGCTGCTCCGATCTCTTCATTACATCCAGAGTTTGCAAACTCTGTGGACCTGCAGCTGCAGTCCTGAAAGCTGCCACAGATGACTCCAAAATCCCCATTCTGTAATGGGCTCGGAATTGTGACCGTGACTTCCATGCAAATCCCTCCCTGCTGGCCATTGTACCACCAGAGGAGGACTTGCTTTGCATCCCAACTCCAACAGAAAATAACTCCTTCAGCCTCCTTTCCCAAGGCAGTGTTTAGACTTGCTTATCTGTGGATAAACACATCTGCCAGACCCTCTCTAGTAAGTTTTCAGTCTATTGGCCAATTATAACCAAATCTGACGTGGGCTTGGAGGATGTTCCCTGTGACAAGGAGCAGCAAAACAGGCAGCTGGGCTGAGCACGCAGCCCCCGTGAGTGATCCTGTGAGAGAAAGGCCAGAGCAGTGACAAACTGGGGACCCCAGCCTTGAGACACAATGCCAAAGGGAGGAGGTTCCTTTGGGTTTGGCTGCTTATCACAATCCTCTGACACAGTCTGTGCATGACAGCAGTGAGAGCACACTGCCTGTGTTACCAGAGACACAGACACGCTCCTCTCTGTGCACACTGTGTAAGCACTCACACCTGGGCCTGCATGTGCACTCTGGCATGGGCTGATCATAAAGAATAATTGATCACATAGGAATTTATTTTTTTTTACAGTTTGATGAAGTGTTGACATTTTAAGTAGAGAAAAGTAAGCTCGGTAATGTGATGCATGAAAAAACTGGTATAATGTAATCAAAAATTACATTATAAAGTATTTTAGTTACCTGAAAATCATTTCCTTATTACAAAAGAGTCCAGCACTTCCAGATGCTGTAATAGATAAATATTTTCGCCTTTAAGGCACTCAAAAGAACGAGGTTGTTGATATATAGCACAATGCAATTCATAGATACCATCAGAATGTTACAATTTCAAGACTTTTTCAAAACTTATTAACCCTCATTACATTTTTGCTACTCCAACCAAATACAAAACAGCAAGAGGAAAGAGCTCACCAGAATCAAGACCAATCTGAAACATGCACTAGGAAAAAAAAAGCTTAACACATGAGCCTTAGACTGAACTGCAGTGTTTTCAAATCAGTTTTGTCCAAATTTTGCCTATTAGCAGTAAGCTTCTCTGTTTGAGACAATTTAAAAAGAGCTCGTATCTTCTGAAAAGGAACAAAAATCTGAATGGTAATAAGTCTAAGATATATTTTATAGTTTGCTTTATGGGATAGCACAAATAAGTCTTATAATTTGTTTCTGTTCTGTATTTGCCATATTTACAGCACATTCTAATATATGTCTAAGTCCTCACCAACTTCATAAATTAGAGTTATGACATCCAAAATAACCATGTTTGTTTATACACTATCCTATCCTTGCAATTACCCTAAGATTGGTAGAAAACACCTATTACAAGTTTTTGGAGACTTTACTGGCTTGGCCCATATTCTGTTGGAATGGTTGTTGTTAGCAGCAGCACAGGCTGGACCCAGAGGCAGCCCTCCACTCTCCCCAGCACACTGCATCAAGTATCACATTTGTAAGACAAAGCAAAGCAGCCCCTTCCCCACAGGATTTACAGTCTGGACAAGTGCTTTGTAGTCAGCATCAAGCAATCAGCTGTTAAGACACAGAGCAGCTCATAAACCTCCTTCTAAAAAAAAAGTTCATCTTATTTCTTGGGAGTAGTAACACATCATTTCCCACCTGAGCATCAGGCTTCCTCTCATTGTTTCCTTACACCTGGCAACAGATATTGTGTCTTACTTATTGAAGGTCTTGTTTTGTAGGAAACAATGCACAGGGAAGAATGACAGAAACAGGCAAGAAAGACGAGACGCTGGGAAAGGCCTTTGTGAATCTGTCAGTTTACATCATCACCAATCAAAGCTCTTTCAAAGGGAGTTTCAAAACTTGAGGGCTCGATTCTGTCAAGAGATGAATGCTCCAGTCCTGCTGCAGCAAAGGCCCCAGCACATGCATCACTTTAATTACACAAGTGCACCAATTAAAATGGACCCCCTCACATCCTTAAAATGAAGCATGCATGTAAGAGCCAACATGCAGCCAGAGCATTCAGCATGCTGACCCACAGGAAGGACTGCTATAAGTCAGGATTACACACACAGATAAGTACAGATACAGCTATCCCAAAGGCCTGAGGGGCTTTTTTCCCTGATTGCACAAGTGTCAATCAAGGGCAGCTCAGCTGAAGCCAAGCAGGGCAGTAGGTTGTGGGAAGAGAGTCAAGGTCCTTAGGTTGCATTTACTGTGATGGATTTCTTATTTTGAAATAACTGCAAAACTGTTTCCTAACAATGCACAATTTCAACACAAAAAAACAGAGAATCTTCTTGCAAACACATTTGGACTAGATTCCATCATATCACTCTAAAAATGAAATGCTGGTTGGGTTTTTGCTTTCTTTCAAAAACCTCTGAAAGAAGCCCACTCCCTGCACATGCAGCTTCTGCCAGTGAAAGAGGGGAGGAATACCTGGTGCTCTAAAGCCATGCTGGTCATCAGACAGAGGAGATTTTGTCCTCTGTAGGCAATCACACAGTAGCTATTCTGTCACTCTCATGCACACTGCTTCCATGAGCTACTCACAGAGACTGTAGCTTTTAACATCCTAACTTTAACATGCCTGTCATTCAAACTGGTCTGTTCTCAGAAAATAACTATGTCTCTGCTCTATCTTCAGCTACACTTTAAGCAGCGTAGAAGAGAGCATTTTGGCCTGGAAAGGAACAGAGAACACACTGGAAGTAAATAAAAGTATGAATGGGACAGAGAGGAACAGAGAGCAATTCTGCACCAACTCTATATCAGGACATAGGTACTCTCAAAGGTTCAGAATAAAACGCTATGGGGTTTGACACAGAGAAATGTTAAAGCTATGAACTTCCTTCTCACTGCACATTGTTAAAAGTTTACGCAGCATCAAGGGGCACTCAGAGCAGTTCATGGAAAGGAAAAATCAGCCAGTGCCATAAAGACACCAGCTCTCCCTTAGAAAGCATCCAAGCTGCAAATCATTGCATGCCAACAGAGCCTTTGGCAAATTATCATTACGTGCCTATTTATTTTTACTCTCCCTCAAGCACTGCTTTTTGCACTGTCAGACCCAGGACGCTTAGACAGACCTCTGGTTTTATCTACAAGAGTGCAGAGTGCGACTTTCTGTCATTTACATTCAACAGGTCCTTAAACCGAGTGGTTTAACGCTATGTTTCTGCACAACACCACCGGAGACACGGACTGCCATAATCCGGCCGGTAAATCAGAGTTCACTTCAGTCCATCACAAGCTCACAAAATGTGTGAGTTAACAACACCGCACTGCTGCGCGAGAGATTCCCGCTTCCCAGAGACTCGCAGAGAGAGGACAAACCATCTCCATCGCCCGCAGCCACCAAACAAGATGTACCTTAACAATTTGGTTTAAAACTTCATTTCGGGAGTGCAGCAGACCGCCAGCCCGTGCCGTGCACGCGTGACGAGACCGTATCGAGCCAGGGGCAGCGTGTGCAAGGGGAGCAGCCCCGGCACCCTGTCCCAGCGCCTGTGGCACTCACCCGCTTCACCGCCGCTGCTGGCCCGGGCCAAGCTCGGGCAGCCGAGCCGGGCCGAGCCGAGCGCTCCCAGCCCCGCACGGGACAGGACGGGACAAAGGGGCGGCCGCGGCTCTCTGAGAGCCCCGCGGGGCTGGAAGGCTCCGGGCGCGTTCGGGGCGCTGCCCCCGCAGCACTGGGGACCCCCGGGACCCCCCTGCACCCCCCGAGCTGCGCAGGTGCCCGCCCGTCCCGCCGCAGCATCTCCGCGCCGCATCCTCCCCTCCCTGTCCGGCTCCAGCTCCTCACCGTCCTCACCGCCTGCGAAGGCTCCGCGGGGCTGCCTCCTCTGCCTCCTCCTCTGCCGGGGCTGCTGCTGCCGCCGCCTCTGCCCCTCCTGCCTCCCGCGCACTCCCCGTTCCCGCCCGGCTCGCAGCCGCTCCGCTCGGGATCGGGGTGCCTTGGGGCTCTCTCCCCTCCTCTCTCGCCCTCTCCAGCTCCCACTAGTGCTCGCACACCCGGCCAGCCGGACCAGGATTCGCCGCCTCCTCCTCCTCCTCCCGCCCCCCCGCGGCCGCCGCTCCCGGTGTCTCCCCGGCCGGGGCTGCGCGGGCAGGGTGCCCTCGCTGGGCATCCATCACCAGCCCCGGACACAGCCCCAGGGTCCCCACACACACACACCCGCCCGCCCCAAGGGCCCCGCACTTGGCCGGCGGGACGGGGAGATTTAAGAGAAGTGAAGCAATTTACTGCCAGGATTAAATGAACAATCGAGATAAAGCGGACAGCGTGGGAACAGGCGATTGAGAGATGAATCGCCGATACATTGCTCGGCGTTTGGAGTGTCAGCAATAATTTATTGCTAAGTGTAGGCAGCACCACAGCCCCGATGTGGATACTCCTGCTGCAAGTTGTACTACATCCCACAGGCGGGCATGAACCGTCCGTGCTGCCTTACAGCCCAGGCTTTTTAACTTCTGTACTATCTTATTGCTGCTTCCGTCTTTTCTATGCTTTATGAAAGGAAATAACAGATCAGCAGGTTAAGTTATCATATTAGAAGCTTAAGACCACAATTTAGTCCATTATAACACGTTATGATGGGGAAAACACAAATTTAAAATGGGAATGTTCAAGGGATAACTACATTAGCAATTTAGTGTGCATCAGGAGTGCACTTTAAAACAGAGGTAGAGCAACCTCAGTGCACGGATTGCAAGCAGTAAGCCAAAAAATGCACCCTGGGAGTGCACCTAATGCACTGTGGGGCCTGCAGGCATCCCATGCACCAGGTGAGGTCGCAGGCAGTGCAAACACCTTGGCCTGAGCACCAGCTGCTTCACATGGCAAATCTACTGGGCCACGCTCACCAGGCTGCAGACATCAGCTAATGTCATTTAATTTCAGTTTCTCTCGCCCAAGATGACATGCTCCCTCATTGCTCAAAGGAGGTACTCTATCCCTCTTTAACCCAGAATGTTTAATTTGCAGAATATTGCTCCAATATTTTGGGCCAGAGACACAGAGGGAGGGCAAACTATCTCCAACTGCATGTCTCCTTATTCTTAAGCCCAAACCTATCCTCTCCCTGCTACTGTAGGAAATGGGACCTTTCTTTGCACTTTACCTCAGTTAATTGAAAGGACTGACATGGTGGAGTCTTATTACTAGCCAAGGCAAATTTGGAAACGCTGAAAAGCTGGCAGAAGGCTCGTTGCAGCAAGATTTCTGCACTATTTTGTGAAATCGGTGCATTCAAATTGTCCCTGTGCACTTCATGCTTCATGCCTTTTTGGCCTGTATCCTGGCCACAGCTCAGTATAACACAGGTATATTGTCAATTGTGAGCCGAAGGTTTCCCTCTCAGCAGAGATACTTAACTTTTCAATGGTTTTCCCTCTTCTATTTATCTCCTATAGACAAAAAAGAGATGACCAAGGCAAACAGAAGTACTGGCTCTCCTAGAAAACAACTGAATATCTACTGCTGTTGCACTGACAAGAAAAGCCTAGAAAACACAGAACTCAAAGAGAAAAGAAAAACACACCCTCAGGAAGTAATAAAGAGAGAGATGAAAAGGAAAAGAAGACATAAAAACAAATAGGAAGGAACAAAAGGAAGGTGTAACTGAATAAAGAGCGCCATAAAGTGAAACAGTTGGCAGCGGGGAAGAGGCCTCCTTATGGACACCTCTGCTTCACACTCACAAACTGAGAAACTGAAAAGTGTGGTTTCCATTGAGGCACCAAAATAATTAACTCTTTACTGAGTATGTGAGAATCAAGGATTTGTGCTACAGCACTCCAAAAAGGATAAAGATTTTACCAGTTTCCTTGAAAACATGCAACAAACCTTCAAAAATGAATGCCCTTCTTAGCTATGATGAATCAGCAGCAACAGAAAATATGCAGACCTGGACTGAGCTCTAATGAAGGCACCACAATTTCTCTCTTCTTCCCACAAGTTCCAGTTAATCTCTTCTAACTGGATCATTTCAGCCACCATTCTTTAACTCCTAATTATATCAGACCTGATTATAACAACACTTGAATGAAAATGCTCAAAACATCAGGCTCCCAGTGACATTACTGAAAAGGAGATGTAGTGTTGCCCTACAAGACACTGTTGAGACTGCTGGGTAATTGTCTAAATCTTCTATCATTGCTAAGGTAAACACTTGAAACCACAGAAATGTTTGAGCCTCCCAGCAGAGCTTTTGGCGTGCTTTCACCTTCCTGACCTCTAAGTGTCGAGCACTCCTCTGCAATTTCTTCTCATGCTGCGTGTTGCCAGTGGAGGAGAATCCTCCCCTCGTCCCCCCAGCCACCCTAAACACATTCAAATAAACCATCCAGTGGAAAAACAAATATTGTGTGATCTCTTCACCTTTTGTCTATGTTTGGGAAAGACAACATAATCCTTTCTATTTCAGAAGCAAGCTCTCTCCTGCGCTTTCCAAAACAGTAGTGTTCTCCCTGCTCTGCGAAGAGCCTGGTGGCTCTGGGCTTTATTTGTTTCTTCTCCTTGGTAAACAACTTAAAGGAGTCTGTCATTCAGTAGCCCTACGTATTTCACAAAAGAAAAAACACACACATGAAACTCATTTCCCTGTTGATCAGACATTACGATTTTCCTACTACACCAAAGCTGGAAGTTTCAGTAATACAGAAAAAAAAAAAAAAAAAAAAAAAAAAAAAAAAAAAAAAGAAGGCATTGTTATTCCAGATTAAATAGAGCTTGTTCTTTACAGGCAAGGTAAAATTATTTCACAGCATTCTTACACTTCCATAACACAGTTACATCTCATTTCAGAACTCTATACCAAACTTCACTTGTCTTAGTTAACTCACAGATTACAGCTGATGGCTCTCTACCATCTGTTTCCTGGAGTACAGTGTCTGTAGTGCCATGCTGTGATTTTCAAATCAGCCCTTAAACTGTGATAAACAGAATATCAAAATCCTCCATCAGCCAGCTAATGAATTACTTAGGAAAGATAATTACCATGATGTCAAAAATGCTTTTGCCCATCAGCTAATATAACATACTGATCACCCACACAATATCTCATGCAGTATGCTTATAAAAAAAACCCCAAACATATAAAACACATTTTAATTGTCAAAACTTGATTCAAACATTATAAATAAGCATAGCTTAAGTCTCCAGATATGCAGCACAGTCTTGTTTCATATTTGCTGTGCAAAACCTAGAAGTTTAGGATCAAATTCGCTTCTTGCTACCTCACTCTGCCTTAGGATACACACATACATATATGCATTTAAATATGTAATACAGTGAGAGTAAAACACTGACAGCCCATCTCAATAAAGGGAGAGGAACAAGAAGAAAGAGTACATGTTTCCCATGTGAAATGGTAATTGTGAGAGGGACAGAGAATTGGAAAGAACATAAAAGGCACTATATTTGAACAAAATTATTTCAGACAGCCATTCCCAAACTGAGATCCAGGGACTTACTCCCTCCTGGGGAGAGCAGCTGGCTGGCTGCCTGCCTCAGCATCTTTCACCAGCAAGAGGAGCCAGCAGTCAGCCATAACATCCTCCACAAGTTTTCAGTGTGCTGGAGTCCTCTTATGAATTTCTGGCACTCACAATCCCTATTGATTTAAATGGGGCTTGAAAGCCACCAGAACTGAGCACTAGACATCTTCACTGAGTAACAAAGTTTACAGTGCAAAAAACCTTCAGAGGAAATTTGAAAAAAAAACAGAAACAGAGGACTGTCTCTAGGACAACAGAGGAGGAATACCCTCCAATTGAAAACAAATCTGCTTCCTGTGATGTTTTTAACTGCAGTTAAACCACTCAGTCTTAAACTGCAGACAAAACATCCTAGATTTTGGGTACATCCCAAAGCACCCACGTACACCTTGCTAATAGCAGTACTGCTCCCAAGCCCAGTAAAGGGACTTGCACAAAGAGCTCTTCCCATGCCTAGGGTTCCCAAGGACTTGGACCATAAACTGCACGTTCTTGTGGATTTTGTTATTGTTTCTCCAAACTTCAGCAGTATTTTATAGCTTCTGCCCTCTGAACCACTAACTATTTTTATAATATGGATTAATCCCTTTTTTAGTTTAAAGAAACAGCTGAGATAGCAAGCTTTAACAATTTCATATTCTAAACTCTAATTAGTTTAATGTAATGTTATTTGTTCAGGAGTGTTGCTCCTTTAGTCAAGTTTCAGTATAATCCCAACATAATCCCCAATTTTTTTCCCCTTTTACATCTCATGCTTCTCTGAAACATTTTAAATGTTTTGATCTACTAAACACTTACTGTGTGCCTTGTTTTTTGCTCAGTATTTTCTTTGATCACTTCTTTGAAACTTAACCCAACAGGTGTTATTTTAATCAAAAGCAAGTCTGTCATCATTCTTTTATAATAATTTCACTATTTCTGAGTATATTTTATGATTTTTCTTCCTCTTAAAATTCCTTAGTTTAAGACTTGCACAATGGAGATGTTTTTTGTAATTACTGTTTGTCATAGGGTGTGCATATATGCTTATTCTTCCTATTCTGTAATGTTATTTGATCTTAGTGGGATTTCCTCTTGGATTTAAACCTTTGAAAAGAGATGGACCTTCTGGAGAGCATAAAATGACCAATTTAATGCAATAACAACAGCAGTTTTCCTTGAATGCAGCTGTGTTGTCACAGGGCATAAAATTCGACCTTTTGCACAAAGACAGCAGAAGTTCTTGGTATTCCCTAAGACATCAAAACAAGGATCAGGGCTCAGTCTTGAAGCAGCTATAAAAAGTTCTTGGAACAAAACTGTTCAAGCTATTTTCCTTTTATCCAGCAAGCCATACAGCTGCCTGGTGACAGCCTGATGAAATCTGCAGAGTTTGCATAGGAAAAGGTACATTTCTTTGTTGGGATCTTCCTTTGGTCATGTTTTGCCTTTTCTATGTCAGACTTGACGGAAAAATGGGAGTAAGAAAACAGTGGATTTCTACACC